AGATAGATAGATAGATAGATAGGGAGATAGATAGATTGATAGATTAGATTAGATGAGGTTAGATTAGATTAGATTAGATAAGATAAGATAGATAGATAGGTAGGTAGGTAGATAGATAGATAGATAGATTAGATAGATACATAGATAGATAGAAAGATAGATAGATAGATAGATAAGTAGATAGATAGATAGATAGATAGATAGATAGATAGATAGATAGATAGATAGACTGATTAGATAGATACATAGATACATAGATAGATAGATAGATAGAAAGATAGATAGATAGATAAGTAGATAGATAGATAGGATAGGATAGGATAGGATAGATAGATAGATAGATAAGATAGATAAGATAGATAAGATAGATAAGATAGATAAGATAGATAAGATAGATAAGATAGATAGATAGATAGATCGATAGATCGATAGATAGATCGATAGATAAAAAGGGAGATGAAAACGATAACGAGGAATAGGATGAACAAAAGGGGAAAATGGTAACAAATGGAAAGACAAAAAAAAGGGAGGGGAGGGACGGAAGGTGGAAGGAGAAAGGACGCAGAAAAAACGGGAACGAGCAAGAAAAACGGAAGCAGGAAGAACATAAGGGAGACGGGGGTAAGGGAAAAAGGAGGAGATCGATCGTGGTAGAGTGATTTCTCACATTATCAGGTTTGAGAAGCTACACCACAACTAACACCCGGTTCTGTTCGCACTGTTTGGTTTCTGTGCAACTGTCGAACTACTATCTAGACGGAAAGATGAAGAACCAGTTAGATGGATGGGTGAAGTGTTTCGGTACTGAAATGGATTGAATGGACAGCTGGATGGGCGGATAGTCAACTAGATAGATGGATAGACCGAGAGACGAGTGGAAAGACAGGCAGATAGACAAGGAAATGGATAGATCTCGAAAGAGAAGAATAGAAAGAAAGATAGCTAGACAGAAAGACGCATAGACAGGCAGTTGATGGATAGACGGATGCATAGACAGATAGAGAGCTAATCAGATAGATGGAAAGACCGATAGATGGATAGGTAGATAGACAGATACCAAATAAGTAGACAGGCAACTAGAAGGATAGGTAGGTAGATAGAGATAGAGATAGAGATAGAGATAGAGGTCGATAGAGATAGAGATAGATAGAGATAGATAGAGATAAAGATAGATAGAGATAGATAGAGATAGATACAGATAGATAGAGATAGATAGAAATAGATGGAGAGAGATAGATAGATAGATAGAGATAGATAGAGATAGACAGAGGTAGACAGAGGTAGATAGATAGATAGATAGATAGATAGATAGATAGCTAGCTAGCTAGCTAGATAGATAGATAGATAGACAGATTAGATAGATTAGATAGATTAGATAGATTAGATAGATTAGATAGATTAGATAGATTAGATAGAATAGATAGATTAGATAGATTCGATAGATAGATAGATAGATAGATAGGGAGATAGATAGATTGATAGATTAGATTAGATGAGGTTAGATTAGATTAGATTAGATTAGATAGATAGATAGATAGATAGATAGATCGATAGATAGATAGGTAGATAGATAGATAGATAGATAAGATAGATAGATCGATCGATCGATAGATAGATAGATAAGATAGATAAGATAGATAAGATAGATAAGATAGATAAGATAGATAAGATAGATAAGATAGATAAGATAGATAAGATAGACAAGATAGATAAGATAGATAAGATAGATAAGATAGATAAGATAACTAAGATAGATAGGATAGATAAGATAGATAAGATAGATAAGATAGATAAGATAGATAAGATAGATAAGATAGATAAGATAGATAAGATAGATAGATAGATAGATAGATAGATAGATAGATAGATAGATAGATAGATAGATAGATAGATAGATAGATAGATACTAGTAGATAGATAGATACTAGTAGATAGATAGATACTAGTAGATAGATAGATACTAGTAGATAGATAGATACTAGTAGATAGATAGATACTAGTAGATAGATAGATACTAGTAGATAGATAGATAGATAGATAGATAGATAGATAGATAGATAGATAGATAGATAGACAAATAGATAGATAGATAGATAGATGGATAGATAGATGGATAGAGGAGATAAATAGACAGATAGGCAATGGACAGACAAATGGATGGATAGATAGAAACATGGATGGATAGATAGATAGCTCGATATTCCAACCACCTTTCGGTCCATGAGTGGATTTGCTCTGCCATCCGTGATTCACAACAACTCACCTCTCCTATAGGTTTCCTATTTTTGAAACTTCCGCCACCGCCTTGTGCGGTACTACTGGTATTTGATATTTTGATAGGGTCTTTTAATATTGAACCATATGAGCCATATTGAAACATCAACACGTTCCAATAAAGACGAATCCTAGTATTATTTCACCATTCTCATTTTCACATTCAGATCTTAGAACAATAATATAGAACATCATAGAACATATGTATTTCCTCATATGTTCCACCAGGTAATAACATATTCTAGAACATCTATATATTCCCCATTTGTCTTTCAGCAGGCATGACCAATTTTGCATGATATTTCCGAAAAAAAAATCTACCAGTTTTGCCACCAACTTGTCTGGGGCTCATCTCCCCCCGTTCATCCCAAGTGGCCACCAGCTCCGCCTCCGTCAACGGCTTCGGCGCCTCCGTCCAGCGCTGCCGCAGCGCCGCGGCCGTCGGGCGCCAGGCGACCGGGCGGCCGTCCAGGCGTCGCAGCAGCGCGGTGAGGCGCTCCAGGCCGGTGAGGTCCAGGGAGAGCCTACAGGGCGGTGCTAGGCTTGGATAAGGCCATGGTTGTTATGGTGATGGTTGTTGAAATAAAGATTGGTCTAGATGAAGATATGTATATTTAAATATAAATATATATGTATATATGTATATAGTTCTGTGAAACTTTCATAATTCAAGGAAATAAGGGAATTACACGAAAAGAAGGATTAGGATATTTGCAAACCAATTGTTTCAGATTGAAATCCAGTTTGAAAGGGTTTTGAGCAAATTGTATTGAATCAGGTAACTGCAGCCATCCACATGACTCATTTTGTGAAGAATTTGGGTGACAAACTAGTAGATGCTCACAGCGTAGGTCGTAGGTCAAAATAAAGTATGCGCAGAAAACAACAGGAACCATAAAGAAACGAATTCAGGCACCTAAAGAATTCCAAAACAAATACTTGCAACATCTTACAACAGGTCATTGGACTTGCTCCACAGCAGCGCTGCAGCTGCTGTTGAGCATGAAACAAATGGACATAATCCAGAAACATTCTTTGATTCTTCAAGTCTGTTCGCTTTTGTTTGAACATTTTGTTTAACAATGTTCATGCTTATTTTTCTTGGTCTTTCGTTTTTACATGTATGGTGTTTAAAATAATTTGGACGTTTGTTGCAAACAGAAGCCTTGCCGCCTGCCAACGAAAAAAAATCTATGAATCTTAAAAAAAAGGCCCGCCGCAGGCGCGACTTTTGAGCATTTGGATTGTCACTCAAAGAACATTGCTCCCACCAATTTGAAAGCAATCTAAAAACTAGACACTATATACGAATTATGCATTGGATTTTTAAGGATATTTCATTTATTCATTTGTTTCAATGTGTTCATTTTTCATTCTTATATATTACAGTACCTGTTTTCCGAAAAGACAATATTTTTTATTCTTTGAAAAACAATGATTATTTATATATACATTTTTTGCCTTCTGTATGTTCACTTCATTTTCCATTTTTTTATATATATTTTAATCTTTCCATTTTTTAATTAATTACTATTATTATCATTTATTATTGTTTTAGTTTGATTTTTGAAATTTCTGTTTTCATTATTTATTGTTTACTTGTTTTCCCGAATGCGTAGCAAGGGTTCCCGTTCACTCTGGGGGTCTGGGTCATATATATATATATACCCTCTGGTTATGACTAACAGTTCGCCATGGTATAGATGGCCCTAATCGAAATAGATGCTTCACCTATTCATAGCATGGTGGATCTTTCCATGGCAAACTGTTAAATAACCAGATGGTATAAATATCTGTAAATGGGCCATTTTTCTGTAAATGGTTAACCAGATGGTATACCCTCTGGTAAACTAACATAGCTATGGAAAATCACCATTTTTAATGGGAAAATCCACTATAAATGGCCATTTTCAATAGTTATGTTAGTTTACCAGATGGTATATATCTTCCATTTTCTTCAAAGATCCATCCCGAGCCACTCGCCGATGCGCCAGGGCATAGCCCGCAGCCAGCCCGGATCGGGATCTCTCCGTTGACGCAGCAACAGCTGGAACCGGAAACCAGCGACCTCCAAGGTGGCCTAGGGCCGTGCCATGGCAAAATGCGGTGAAACATGGTGGAAGATGATAGTGTGTCAAAACCTTGTACCCCTGGTGAACCTCAAAATAGCTGGTAAATGGATGTTCATCCCCCTAAAAATGGTATTAATAGGTATTGATCCATACCCAGATGATGGAACCATGTGGAAATATTCTATCAGAAAGTTGGAAACCATGGTGGTTTAACCGTGTTGAATCGGCATGGGATAGACGGATAGACATGGATACACAAAGAAATTTTGTCCATGAAATAGTTGCTGAAACTGCTACGGAACTTGAACTGCTGGTTTTTCGCAACAAGAATTATGGTTTCACCGGCAAAGAAACATATCCATTGCAGGTCAAGTTTTCAAGAGGCCGGTCGGATGGTGACCCAGCACTTCGCTTGCTTGACACGCAGCCTTCCCCAAGCCTGAAACATCTCTAGTTGCAATGAGCCATGAAATCAAATTCTGATCTACATCTCATATACCAACGCTCTGCCAACCACATTCCCAGCCAAGCAACCTCATAGCGTTGCAACGTCACATCACTCAGCCAGGACCTCGTGGCTGGTAGTAGGTGGTTTCTGAGTTTCAACCAACAAGATTTGGGGTTGATTGCTATAGGCAGCAAAATGATGATATAGTAGGAATATGTAGAAACATCACCAGCTGAGGGTATGACAGGGAGATACCCAGCAACAGCTGTTCATTTAGCCAGCACTGGTGGTGACCAAGGATGACACCCAGCATCGAAGAGAACAACAAAATGACTATCGATTCAGAATCTATTGCTAAGAAAGATTGGCCAACCATATAGAACTACCAAATGGATCTAAATGGGAATGAACATATATATTTATGTATAAAATGAACAACGAATTGACGAAGTATAAATCATCAAATTAGCCATGAAAAATACCACTATCCCATCTCACTATACTGGTTCGCGAATAGGTCAGCCTATCATTGGCTACAATATCATATGCCGATATGCCGCATTAGATCAGGTTGTAGATCCCCCCATGGTAACCAGTCAACAGGCGTACAGTTTTTTTTGTGGCTGCTACCCACCCTGCAGAAAATGTAGGAACATTGTGTGAACTAAGCCATTTTTGATTGGGCATTCGGCATTCGCCAATGGCCCGAGTAAGCTTTGAGAGCAGGAAACAACCAGCAGCCAGCAACCAATTTTGGATGTCTTGTAAGCAAAACCACCTTGTGGAAACAGACCATCAAAAGAAACCAAGCATCAAACTGCCACTTGTTCTTACAACCAACTCCGCAAAAAACAGTCCATGTTATACATGTCGTTATACACATCCCCTGCTTGCCACCCAGCCACGCCACGAAGTGTTGGCACACGTAGTCGTAGATTCGCTTCTGCTGCCCATAGATCTCACCCCGTTCCGGTGACCGCAGTGGCACGATGGGTGGGTGGTCTCCCACATCCCGGGCACCTCGGACGCGAGAGTTTGTGCCCAAAACCCGTGTTTTAGGTAAATACAAGTAAAT